GAAGCTTCATGCAGTCATTGCCATTGAAGTGCCCTCCATGAAAAGGCTGAATCTTGATGTGCAATGAAGTTGGCCATTCTGTGGTCTTTGGCCATTTTTGCACTAAGCACTTGAACAGATTGTTGACCACCCCTAGCAGAAGATGAAGCTCCATAGGTGGGATGAACTCCAAAATCAGTGCTTGATCAGGACCAAAGATTTAAGGACTGTGGTCAGTATTTTGGAACTCCTTGGATCTTCTTACATCTCCGCCACTACCCACAAAGCTTTGATGTTGAGCTCTTATAGCTCCAAAGGATCGGGGATTCCCACACAGAAGAAGCTTTGAAGACTCAATATCACACCAACAGCAAGGGTGCTTGTTGCTATGAGACTGGATGCCACAAACAATGTTTGCAAGTTTCATATTGCAAGAAATTACTGCAGCTTCTGATTGGATTAGTTCTTGAAGCTTGATGAGTCGAAAAATCTCTTGCACATTCCAACAATTTTCAGGAGTGTCATCAGTAACAGCCACATGAAATTGTTTTTTCACACTAGTTTGCTTTGAGACTTGTGTCGTGAGTTTGGCAGATTTTTGGACAGGACTGTGGGGCTCTAGGTTGTTTTCTTCCTCATCAACAACTCTAATGCTCACTTTTAAGAATGACCCTCCTCCCTCAATACCTATCTTTGCAAAGGCAGTCTTTGAGGAGCCAATTTCTTCTTCAATCCTGTCTTTCAAGTCCTTAATGCTTTTGCAATGAACCACAACCCTATTTTCTCCAGGATCCAAAATCTTCAAACTGCTGACAGTAAAAAAGTCCTGCAATTTTTGTCCAGACTCAGCAAACTTTTTTTGAAAGTTTGGTTCAACAAATCTTGTTGGGCTGATATGATTGATGAACGATCCAAGTTTCCTCATTCCGTTGTTAGACAATCTTGTATTCTGTTGAATTTGAACCATATTCCATGTTGAAAGTCTGGAAGGAAAAAGCTCTTGAGCAACAACACCACCTAAAAAAACGAAATCTATTAGCATTCTCTAAAGAAGAATTTGGTAAGTATACATCTTACCTTTTCTGATTGGAAGATGCATCCCACTCAATTGACTAAGTCGAATTGTTCCTTCAGGAGATGCTTCCTTGGATGCAACAATGGAAGATGCAACTTATTCAGCTTCTTTAGGATCTGACAATGCCAGTTGCTTCAAGTTTTCATGGCGTGAACCAATTTTGCAATGATGAGAAAGACCTCGTGAGAGAACAGATTTTAGAAGATTTTGTACAACGTTTTTCTGAACTTTTAGGTGGCTGACTGGTTGTTGCAGGCTGGTCTTTTTGCTCAAGTGGGTGAGTTTCTTTATCTTTGAGCCTCCCAAATTGGCAGACAATCACAGGTGCTTGAACTTCGAGTTGCCGGATTTATTTGGATGTCTTCAAACCTGTACAATCTTGGTTTACACGTCTTAGGATCCCCATCTTTAAGCATTTTCAGTTTAAAACGACATGTCTGACATGAAGCAAGAGGAACTCTGCAGTCATTAAAGCTCAGATCATTCTTGATGAGGCGCTGAATCCTTTGCTTTAAAAAGTCTGTCAGAACTTGGTCTCCTTTCTTCATGCAGATAATGCACACAGATTTTCGACAATCCTCATGGGTTTTTGCTGAATTGGGCATTTTTGATGCACATTCTACGAATTTTTCTTCGAAAGTATGGTATTTATGCAGCTTTTTCCCGGAAAACGATTGCCGTAATTTTGTTGACATTATTTTGGTGATAAGAATTTAAAAAAATCACACTAGTGTTTTAAAATACACCAAATACCATCAAGTAACACTTTCTTAACCTTTTGATACTTGTTATATTTAGAAAAGTTGTGTAAACCTGTGTCAGAAAAATTTTTTAGTAAAAGTCACAGCGTTTCATTAAGATAAAACTAATAAAGTCAAATAAGTCTTGCGGACGGTAATCCCTGATTTCAAAATTACATGTTATGAGATCCCTATCATATGTACTAACACCCATCAAAAGGGTTTTCATAGGAGTTGTTTTTGGTATTAGGGTCCAAAATTTTTAAACTGTGATCTACTACAACACGTATTTTAAATCATTTAAAGTTAAGGCATAATTAGTCTTACTGATAAACGCTCAAAAGACGGCATATCCGATTTAAACGCTCAAAAGACGGCATATCCGATTTAAGTCAATCAACAAGTTCAAAAAAAGTACGCTGTAATAATAAAAATTCAATAACTTGAAATTTAATGAATAGGCAACAGTTTCATAAATTTGTTGAAAGATTCTAAAGATGGTTTACAATAAATAGAATAACAAAGTTTTATAAGACAATTTTTGATAAAGAATAAAATCTTCCTAAAAATCTATCAAAAGTAATTGGTTTAGTAACGGTTTTTTTGTTCTTTTTTTAAAGAACAAATATTATAAATAAAAATCTAAACAGTGATGAAAGACCTCTCGATTAGAGAACAAGTCTTGCAAAAAAATAAAAAATGTAACGAGTTGGTATCAGTTTTTTTCAATCTTGGGCTAGTTCGAATTGTTAGGAGTTATGACATTATAAACACTCAAAACGTTGTCCATCAACATTTTAAAAGAATTTGAAATTACTTTTGAAAAACATAATGTTATATTAACAACTGACGGTGCAAGTGTTATCTGTAAGTTTAGACATGAAAGTCCTGCTTATTCCGTGCAATGCATGAATCTATTTATCTGATGGATACTTTCTACAAGAAAAGTGAGAAACTGGAATTTGTAGAAGAAATAAGTAATGATGAAGTTAGTTTGTATTTTTTTTACTCAGAATTGGAAAACAACTTAAAAGAAATTGAAACCTTGGCATTTAACCAGCAAGTTTACGCCTCATACTCACCAATGTCACTTATTGAGCTGGAACCGGCGTCGAACCCCAGTTCTTTTGGTTCTGGGCGAGAACTCTAACCACTGCGCTACAGACTCACAAAAATGATGAAAATTAGGAACAATAATTGTTTTTCACCAGTATTACGAACAGGTAATAAAAGAAACTTGAAAAGATGTGGACGGTCACCCACAAAAAATATTTTTACAGCGATACATTTTACAACAATATGTGAAACAAGAGTTTAAAATGGAAAGATATATCAAAACCAGATGAAGTTCTCTTGAAGCCATGATTGAAAGAACTATCAAGCTGTACAACTGTATCTCTCTGATTGAATTGAATGCTACTGATAAATTTAACTCCATAATAAATTGACAACAAAGATAGACACGTAAATTTACTAATCTGTATCAGATAATTACAGAAACAGCTCTGAACATTAAGTAGTATATTTAATTGCAACGCTTATACAGCTTCCGAAAATAACTAATAGTTCTGAGCTATATTGACAAGTAAGTCAACGTATAAAATGATTATCGCAAAACAACCAGAAAAAAACGCTCTGCACCAACCGGAATTCGTCATTAATCAAATTCTTTTTCAGAGAAACACACGTATTGCCATAGATTCAAGACTTGATAGCCTCATGAAAAACGTCATCTATTAACAAACCCGGGTTACAAGGAAAATTATTAAAAATTGCATTTTGTATTGAAATAACAAACAATATAATATATAAGAACCTATAAAAAAGCTTTAAGACTTTAAAAACAATAAAAGATAGGGGTCGTACATAAAGTACGTACGTTTTTTTTTTAATCTATCCCCATTCCCCCCCGCATTTTGCAACACGCTTTTTTGAATACCCTCTTCCTCCCTAAAAGTATATTTTTTAAATATAGTGCCTCTTTTCCTTTATAATTGACCTACTGCCCTCCCATCTCATATACGCTATTTGCAGACCCCCTCTTCCCCTCCGAGCGTACGTACTTTATGGACGATCCCATACCAAAACTTTAGACCATCAAAAAGCGTTTTCTGTTTAAAATTTTTCTTGGCAACGTTCTCTGAAAACCAAAATAGGATTAAAAAGTAAATTTTTTTTATAGCTAATCACTTGACTGAGAAGCTTAACTTAGAGCTTAGTAGTTTTCAAATAAAAAGGGGTGGCTCTAAATGCAAGGAGGCCCCAGGTACACGAACTTTTCCTATTTACAAACATTTTATGTAATAGACAAACAATAACTATTTATTTTTTACTTTGATTTAAAAAACTGAGATAGTAAATATTAACTTTAATTTTTGTGAAGATTTACTTTAACCATAGTCTTTCGATAGGATAGATGTATATTTCAATAGGACAACTGAAAATCACATTACAGTATAGATAAACAACTGAACATCACTTTTTTATTTTTTTAAATTAGAATGCCATTAGGAGTGTTTGCTGAACAATGTCCAGAATCAGTTCATAACGACATATTCAAAACTCTAGGTAGATTTTAACTTCTGAGATCAACTCATAATAGAATACTCTAGCATTGGTTTTTAGATGACGTTAATTTGTATGGATTTTCTTATTATTATGTATTCTATCTATATTATATTACACTTTGTAAATTAGTTTTGGGTGTTAGTTGTTGAGTGCGGCTACCCTCGTTATGTACCCGTTGTTTCATGCCAATTGTTTTCTAAGAAAATCAAGATAAATATTTCCTTGGTATTATAAACTGCCTTATTTTTCAAAAACAAGCCCTATATACAACTTTACGATACGGTCCTGATAAATGATAAGAAATCTAAAAATGTAGAAAGAAATGTTTCAAAATATTGCACTATTAAATTAGTCTGTAGTTGAAAAAAATCGTGTATGTTTAGACATTACCCAAATAATAGTAAATGCGTGGAAGAATGTAAATACATTAAAATACAATAGATTTTGGACTTAATAAGTAGTAGTTATACACTTCACTATTGCAATTGTTTTCATTAAAACAATACAGTTATTGTATTTTTATTTCAAAACAATATAATAGTTATTGTAATTGTTGTTCATCACAACAATACTATACCAAAATTTTTTTTTATTATTGTTTCCGTAATATTACAATACAATATTATTTTATTCTATTATGTATTGTATTATCTCTTTTCCCATCTCCCATCTAATCCTAGTTATTTCATCTACCCTTCACAATTACTTAGCTTAAATACAGACACGTATTTTGAATTTTTTAGAAAGATTTCATTTATTAAATAAATTAAAAGTAATTTAAAAACAATTATAAAAAAAGATATAGAAAAACTTATTAAAAAGGAGGCGATAACTTCAGCGAAAACGTATCGTTTTTAGAGACGGTTGCCGTATTTCTTAACGATTGACCGATAGAACTCTTATTATAAGGCATGTTTGAATTTAAGTTGCGATTTGATTGGTTCATAATTTTATTTAAAATAGAAAACGTAGATTCGTTTGATTGACTGTTTAAAATATTCAAGGCATCAATTTGCTGCTGAGTCAAGTGAACCTGATCATTTTTGATTTTGCTTTGAGGCTTTTTTGGTGGCAATTTTTTAGGATATTCCGGATGGCAGTGATTTCTTGTCCTTGCAATGCTTCCTTTACTACACTGAACACATACTAATTCCTGATCAAAACCAACTGATCCTTGTAAACAAGAATTGTGGTACGCATGACCACAGCGAAATAAGATCGCTTTAAAATCAGATGAATAGTCTTTATTTAACTCACGTGCGCACAGTATACATATATATTGTGAAGGCCTGATTCCCCGAGATAAAATTTTTTTTTCTTGTTCATATTGGCTATAAAGATCTTTACCCAGCAAACTATTAGTTGTTTCTAGGAGTGTCAATTCATAGTTATAAGTATCCAACATTCCGAGAATAAATTCCTTTATTTCGCCGAATTTTCCTGTATTGTATGCAGGATCTCTCATAATTTTCTGAAGAATTGCTGGAAGCGATATGTAAGCCATCATATTAGTCAACACATCTTTTGTTAACTCTTTGAACACAAGAAAATGAGCTGAGCTGGTGTTCTATAAAATTTTTTTTATAAAATTTAATATTATTTTACCATAATTAAAAAATGGAAAAGAAAATTAAAAAAAAAATGAACGAAACATGTCTTACACTAATATGACGCTGAGGCGCCATCACTGTCTCTAATAGTGGAAACCATAACATTTCACGTTGATCACTGTCAAGTTTTCCAGAATTTCTTTCACATAAGTTTATAGAATCTTTTAAAGCTAAATCTACATCAACTAGTGCATTTTTTACCTTTAAAAAAGAAACAATATTTTTTGAGATATTGAAGATAAAAAGGCATCATTTTTATGATATTTTACAACTTTCCTAATTTAAGTTAAAATGAAACGTTAAAATATTTTTATTAGTCCCTACTGTTACTAGCCCTTTAAACACTAACCTTATCTTCCATATTATCCTCCCGATAGCAAGTGTCTAATATTTGAACTTTAGAGAATAAGTCATCACATAGCACCTTAAAAGCACCATGAACATCACCAAGTCGCTCTAACAAATATGATGCTGCATTTACTAGTTTTTCTTGTTGAACAATAGACAAAACTTCTTGGAGATCATAGTTTTCTGCGCCTTGCAAATATCTAAAAACTTATAAATCCAATTAACTGTGTTTGCAAATATCTCAAAATTTATAAATCCAACGATATGTGTTTACAATTTACTAAAAATTTATAAATCCAAAGAACTGTTTTTTTTTAAACATTTTGTTATTTTATTTATTTAAAATAATTGTTTTTACCAGATACTACTATAAAAATAAGAATAAACACTTTTTAAAAATAAAAGTTCAGTGTACATAAATATATAAAAAACAAAGAAGGTATTACCTATACACACATTGCGGTTCATACTGACACATCAATGATATAAACTTCACATGAATGCTTGATTTAACATCTATACTATTTTTTTTATTTGATTTTAATAAATCAGGTTTATCTTGAAACACCCCTTTAAGAAACATATACTGAATTTCAGGACGATTGTTTAGGTTTGTCGCTACTTTGTTGAATGAGGAAGGAAAATTAGCAATAATCAGACGAGCAAACTTTATGCTGTTTATCTCCACTAGTTTGTCCATAGAATCAAGTACTGCTACAGAAAATTCTTCTTTTTCAAAATCAGTAAAAGAATCGTTAGATAGCATCTCATCTATGTAAAAAAATGCTAGGTTTTGTCTTGCTGGATCACGCAAATAACAAAATAATACGTTTTGGTATTGTTTCTTTTTGCTATAGATAATCTAGTTAATATAATGTAACAGAAAACAGTGAAAAAAACAACAACATTAAAATATAAAATATCAAATATGAAAAAGAAATACAAAGTGAAATGAATAATTAATTATTTATGTATACAACTTCAACATTATTTATAAAATTATAAGGTCTAATTATTAAAAAATACTATATATAAATAATAAATAAAACTGTATATACTTTTTATGTAATTAAATTTTACAAAATATTCTTCTACTCTAGCACTCTACCATACTTGCAATTTTTTAAAGTACTCTTGTTCATACAAAGTACACGTTTTTGTTCACAAAAAGTACATGCTTTTGAGTCATAGGATTAACAACATTTAAAAAAATGAATAAATAAAAAAATTTGTGAAAAAAATTATATTAATTTAGCAGGTAGCAAGGTTTTAAGAACACTGTACTAACTTTAAACACACACACACAAACACACACACACAATCACACACACGCACATATATATATATATATATATATATATATATATATATATATATATATATATATATATATATATATATATATATATATATATATATATATATATATATATATATATATAAAGTTTTATATCTAAAAGTGGAAAAAGGTGCATTTTTACTAGTTTTTATAAACTTTTCTCTTACTTGACCAGAACTTTTCATCTTAACTAACTCTTCATCGTAACTTGTCCTCAAATTTGATTTTCATTTGTTATGTCATCAATATATCTGACAACAAATAATGTTTACATAATAAAAACCTTATTTGTACGCAAAAAAATGTTTAAATCCTTTAATTTTTATCCTCATTGATATAGTAATGTAGTCCTGTGGATGAAATAGTTGTTTAATTTTGAGGCGAGGCTAACAGGGTTCTGGGTTCAATTCCTCCTCAGGGTGCTCCTTTTTTTTAATTTAAATGTTTTTTTATTGATTATGATAAAAAAATGTTGGCATTATATTGCAGTTTATATATAGCCAATAATGTCAATAACCAGTATTTGCTATCAAAATGTAGATATTGGTGCAATATTGTTAACAATATTTAGTTAACATTGATATTGTATAACAACATTGCAATATTGCACCAATGTTGCTTGCTACTAGAGAATTTAATCACAAATCTTCCTATATTTCTTGTAGTCTGAACACTGTTTAATAAAAAAAATGCTATATCACAATAACAATGCTTCATAACAATAATTTGTAATGACTAAAAAGTAGAAAATAAAATATAGCAAAAATATTTGCTAAAAAACCATCTTTTCTGTACTAAAAATGGAAAAAAAAACTTATTAATTTAAATTTAATAGTTCAGTAAACTTAAGATTGACACGTTTTGAAATAAATCTTGTACAGAGCTGTCATTAGTTTATTGAACTGTCAAATTTAAATTAAAAAGTTTATTTTCCCAGTTTTAGTAAAAAAAAGATTTATTTTTATTAGCAAATATTTTTGCTATATTTTTATTTTTAATATGTTTTAACATATACTACAGCTATTATTTTTGACTTTTATATAATTTCACTTTTTTTGAGTACCAGGTTGGATCTACTTTTGGAAAACTTTTTCAAAATATTAGAGATTGTATAACAATAATTATTAAACCAATGGAAAAATACCGTTAAAGTTATCAAATGGTTCGAAAATATTAAAGAAAAGAAATACTGCACTTTTATTCAACTTGACATCACAGAATTCACCCCTCCATCATAGCTATATACTAAAAAATGCTACAATAATTAGCGAATAAGAAATCAAAATAATCAACCATTGCATTGTTATTTTTCAACAATGAAACTTGGAAAAAATAGTAGACTAAAAACTGCTTTGACATCATAATGGGCTACTTTAGTGGAGCCGAGGTTTGCAAGCTGGTTGATTTGTATATATCAAATTCATTATCGGAAACAGTTACCAACAGCGATATGGGCTTTTACTGAGACAACAGTGATGCGTAAAAAGTCTGCCACCCAAGTAGATAGAATCCGAATAAATATAACATAAAAACAATACCAGAGTAGCCCCAAAACAAAAAAGAACAAGAAATATAATCTGGTTTAACCCACCATATAATAAAAGCGTCCTGACAAACATAGGCAAAACTTTCTTAAAACTAATTGACAAACACTTTCAAAAACCAAATCCACTTCATAAACTATTTAATCGCAACAATAAAAGGCTACAGCTGCACAAGCAACATAGCAAAAATTATAAAGAACCACAACAATAAAATTATTTCGATGAACCCAACTGCCGTTTTAGCATACAATTGTAAACCAAACAAAACTTGCCCTATGAACAGAGATTGCAGAAATACATATGTAATTTATAAGTGCATTGCATCATTCCCAAACACATCTGACAAAATATATATAGGTTCAAAAGAGGGCGTGCGGAAAATTAGATGGGCAAACAACAAGCAATCTTTCAAAAACAAAAAACTTAAAAAAATTCAACCACACCTTCAAAATACCGATGGGAAACAAAGGATAAGTTAAAAACAACACCCAATTTAAAATGGTCTATCATAAAAAACGCTCCCGCCTACAACATAACTAAAAAATGCCTAATATGCTTATATGAAAAGCTTATAATTTTATTGTATTAAAATCCCAAAGAATTATTAAACAGAAACAACTAATATCCAAGTGTTGCCATGAGAACAAATTTTTGCTGGACAACCACAAACCAAAATATTAGATTTTTCTAACAAATTTTTTCTTGTACGGAATTATTTTTTCACGAGTGAAAAATCAGATTTTTTGCCTGATTGCATTTAACATGAAACAAATAGTTGTAAAAAATATTTTGTTTTACTTTAATTTGACTAAATGCAAAGTGACCAAGAAATGTACTTAAGAAACTCTTATGTTTAACTTTCTGTAATTAAAATTTTTATAATTTGAAAACCTCCACAATTTAAATGAATTTTTCAGACTTGATAGTAAGATTCTATCTGTAAATCGAACTTTCTTAACTCTGACATGTAAAAAGCTTGTTAAACCATTAAACTTTTTTTACAAATTTCGAATTTTTGATTTTTCGAAATATGATTAGTGTGGAATATTCTTCTTTTTAAAAAAATTTTTGCAATAAAAAAGGTTGCATAAAGAAAAAATAGCAAAAAAATAAACACAATAATTATTTAAAATAAATTAAAATATAAATGGAACATAGCAAAAATCTTTATTAGAATTGGAGAAAGGAAAAACAAATTAAGAGGATTTAAAAAATTTTAATATTCTACCAAACACTCATTTAACCTGGAAAAAAAATAAAGGTAAATTCTTTGACACTTTTTTTCAAGGACTTTTGGTTAAATGGATAAAAGTTGATATTATCAAGTCAATAAATGCAGGCTTGGTCGGGAAGCGGGTGCGATTGGACTCATTAACTGACCACGGAAATAATATTTAGTTGCGAAAAACCGGACAGATTTTTTAGTCGTTTTGAGAACATTCAAGTTCACGTATGTTTCCTTGTTTGTCCGCAAAATAATTATTAAGTTATTGTAAATCTTAGAATATTTTGTATTACGGACTTACACGGAAACATACATAAACTCAAATGTTCTCAAACTTTGTGCGGAAAAATAAAAAAAAGAATATTCACGAACACAAAAAACCCGAACAACTAATTCTATTGGTTCAAAAAATGCTAGCGGAAATTTCTAGAGTATTACCGAATGTTCTAGAGTATTCTTTTGAATTATTTTAAAAAGTTGTATTACTTTTGTTTTGTTTAGTTTTCGTCGAGATTTCTAGCATAAATTGTTTTAACAAACGAACTTTTATTTTAATACTATGTCATTCTCGAAGCCACATCTACAAAGCTATAAATGTTTTAAACTAACATTAATTGTTTGCAAAAATAAATGTTTTAAATTTATGTTTTTAAGTTCTAAGAAAGAAAAGTTTTTAAGTTCATAAAGTTCATAAATTGTTTTAACAAACGAACTTTTATTTGAATACTATGTCATTCTCGAAGCCACATCTACAAAGCTTTTTTGTTTTAAACTAACATTAATTGTTTGCAAAAATAAATGTTTTAAATTTATGTTTTTAAGTTCTAAGAAAGAAAAGTTTTTAAGTTCATAAAGTTCATAAATTGTTTTAACAAACGAACTTTTATTTGAATACTATGTCATTCTCGAAGCCACATCTACAAAGCTTTTTTGTTTTAAACTAACATTAATTGTTTGCAAAAATAAATGTTTTAAATTTATGTTTTTAAGTTCTAAGAAAGAAAAGTTTTTAAGTTCTTAGAAATTGGTTAACTAACTTAAATTTTTTTTGCTTCAGCCATTCTTACAAACTCGTTATACTTAACTCTTTTCTGATTTAAATACTAATTAAAGTTATAAAGCCCACTCACTAAACATTATCAGCGGTAATGTGAAGCTGTTCCGCTTCCTCCTCACTAATTTCTATCTAGTTAATTGAATTTCTACAGTAACTCAATGATTTAATTATTTCATTAGTTCATCTTACTAAAAAGAATAGTCTCAAATGTGTTAAACTTTTCAAACTACGCGAAGCTTAAAACAGTTATTAAAAAAACTTTTTTATTTATAAATAAATCATCTAGCGTTAGTTTTACTGGTTGAATCTTGTTGGACTTTTCAGGGCCACAGGCTGCATTATTTTAGTGGCATTTATTATGTGCCACAGCATAAAATTATTTAAAAAAATACCGAATGGTCCTTTTGACTATTTCGCGGCCTCTAACATTGTGAGCCCCGGGGCTATAGCCAACGGTCCAGTTAATCTTGTTGCGCTTTTTTGTCTGTTTTTGAAATGTTCTCAAAACGATTAAAAAATCTGGCCGGTTTTACGCAACTAAATATTATTTCCGTGGTCAATTATCGAGTGCGATCGCACCCGCTTCCCGACCAAGCCTGTAAATGGATGAAAGTTGATACTATCAAGTCAATAAAGCTGTAATTAAATGGTTCAACAAATGAAAGATGAATGTCTAAATTACTAATTTTTCTTTTTTATAAGAAAAATTTTGCAAAAAAGAGTTAGTCTTTAAAAATCTTATTATTTAAAATCTTATTATTCTTTATTCTTATTTAAAATCTTATTATTTTTTATTCTTATTTAAAATCTTATTATTTTTTATTCATATTTAAAATCTTATTATTCTTTATTCTTATTTAAAATCTTATTATTCTTTATTCTTATTTAAAATCTTCAAGCTTCTTATAGATGCCTAGACAAGTTTAAGAAAAAATAAAACAACTTCTTTTTTTGTTTTGCCCAATCTTTATGATTAACAACTTTAAATTATATAAATGTTTTACTGCTATTTTTCTTAATTGCTGTAAGAAAATACAAAAAATATTTTCCAGAATTGAACTTTTCTGAAACTTGAAGACATATGGATGGTTAAGCGCCAAACCTATCTATACAACAAAGCTGAAAAAAATTACTTTATGTTAAAAAATGATTTTGTGTTTCTTTGCAAACACCAATATACTGTACTTAAAATTTTTAAGTACACTGAACTGGAATTACTTTTTTTTTTTTTGGTTTTTAGGCTTTTGTTAGAAACTCTACATCTAATTATCTTATTTCAACATATTCATTGTATAGGCTGGTTTGGCGCTAAATCATCCATATTTTAAAGCAACGATACATTTTTTTTCTATAATCCATCTTAATCCTCTTTAATGTAATCCCAGGCTTGGTCGGGAAGCGGGAGCGACCGCTCTCGAATACTGACCACGGAAATTATATTTAGTTGCGTAAAACTAGCAAGGTTTTTTAGTCGTTTTAAGAACATTTAAGTTTATATACGAAACAAAGAATTTTTGTTTTACGGACATACATGGAAACATAATAAACTAGAATGTTCTCAAATTATCTTCGTGCAAAAGAATAAAAAGAATATTTGCGAACACTAAAAACCCGCCAAATTAACAAACAAACTAATTCTATTGGTTCAAAAAATACGCTGATTAAGCAAAATAAAGTTCTAGAGTATTCTGTTAAAATGTTTCAGAAATTGTATTATTCACGTTTTGAGATTTCTAGTATTATTTTGTTTTGAGATTTCTAGTATTATTGGTTTACGAAATTATTTTATTTTGAGATTTCTAGTATTATTTGTTTACGAAAATAAATGTTTTAAATATATATTAATTAAATTGTTAAAATTTTAAAAGTTTATTATAAATCATAGATTTTATTAGTATATTCTTATTTTTTATTTTAAAAGAGATTGTATTCTTTATGTAAACGTAATTGTCTGTATTTGCATCATCAGCGATATTGTAAAGCAGTTTCGCTTCCTGGTCATTACGTATTTTTAACTTTTTTAGTTGATTTCTATCTTGATAATTTAATTCCTATAGTAATTCAATGATTTAATTATTTCATTTGTTTATCTTACTAAGAAGAATCGCTTCAAATATGTTAAACTTTTCAAACAACGCGAAACATAAAATAGGTATTACAAAAATTTACTTTTTTATTTATAAAATAAATTAAGCTTAAGTAAAACTAAAACTTGCAAAAAGTTAAATAAAGAATATTTGTTTCCCTTTTAAACAATCGTAAGTTGTTACTTTATATAAAAAACATCGCTTAATTTTATAAAAAAAATTTATAAAAAAGCGATGTTTCGTAAATATTTGTTCTAAATGTAATTTATTTAGCTTAAAGTTTTTTCGCGTTTAAAGATATTTTATTTGCCTACTTTTTTTTTTTTTGTAATTGTCTCTCATCGGTCCAATTAATCTTTGTCGCTTTTTTTTTTTTGCTTTTTTAAAATGTTCTCAAAACGACTAAAACATCTGGCCAGCTTTTCGCAACTAAATATTATTTACGTGGTCAGCAATCGAGAGCGATCGCTCCCGCTTCCCGACCAAGCCTGTAATCCTTCTTCAATTTCTAAAAACTTTTGATGATATATTGAGCATATTTCTGACGTTGCTACAAGACCAATTTAGAATGAAGCATATTTGCTATTTCTCTAATTCAATTTTTTTTTTCCCCAATAAAATTCATATTAAACAAATTGTACTGTATTTAATAGATGGATACATAAATATATATATATATATATATATATATATATATATATATATATATATATATATATATATATATATATATATATATATGAACATAAATTTGTTTATTTTAAAAGTATTTTATAATAAAAAAAAAACTTCACCTCACAAACACGATAAAATTTTGCTGACTCAGCCAAAGCCAATACATACTCATCATCATACTGATTAAGTCCACCTGCAGAAAAAAGTTCAATTAATGCTTGTTCTCTTTCATCATGTTCCTTTTCATTGTGCACATCTGTCAAAAATTCCAATACCTTAATTTAAAAAAAGTTTAGGGTTGAGAGTTTCAAATAAACTTAAAAAAAAAAATGAATGAAAAAAAAATACTAATAATAAATTAGCAGCCTTGACTGCAGAAATCAACTGAAAAATAAAAGCAGCCACAAAACTGCAAACACAAACTTTGTTTTATTATATTTAATATATTTTTAACTAAAAAAACAATTACAAAAAAAAACAACCTGCGAGAACAACTTTTTACTGACACGAATTGAGTTTTCTTGTTTTGCCATTTGTCGAGCAATAAATGTAAATAAACACCCTAATTGAAACGGAGAGAAAACTTTATCATTAAGCATTACCTCAAGTAAAATGTCAATAATTTTTTGACGCTTTGATAATAAACTGGCAGCAACATTTAGATTGTTACTATCAAACTCTTTTTCTTCAAATGCAATGAACAAAACATTTAAAAATTCTCGAGTATCAAATAACAAAAGAGTTCTAATATAAGGATAGATTTCAGAATTTTCAGATCTTAGTTCGGATTTCTTTTTGGTGAGCAAATTGAAAATCCTTTCTTTGACTTCATTGACAATGTTGTCATCAATTTTTCCAATAGGATATTGATTGCCTGCTAAACAACAATTCAAGTAAACTAAAATTTTATTGCCTAAACTGATATACATTTCAGAATTACTGCCATTTTGTAAATACTCTTGAACTAACTTAATAAGTTTCTCAAACGGGGTATGATAATCTTTTAAACCCTTATTATAAACATTTATTAGAAGGTCATATAAATTATAATTCCAACATAACTTTACTAGATAATCAATATCAACACTAGCTAAATCCAAATGAACAAGACACCTTTCAAGCTTTTCTAATTTACCAGATTTTTCATAATGCTCAATTAAATCACGTATAACAATAGCAGTGAGGTAAGTTAATTTGTTATCCAATATATAAGGTTCTAGTCCTTCAAGAAATTCGTTCCTTGCTATTTCATCATCAACAAACCGCTCATATATATCATTAAATAAAATCTCAAGATTTCCTGTAAGCAAACAGCTTTCTATTGTGATTGGTATTAAACTCCGAAAATAAATAGAAAGAGAATTACCATCGCTTGTTTTAGGACAATTTATTGTCATTGCCATATCAAGATACAAAAGAAGAATACTTATAATTTCATCTCCAACAACTTTTTTTTTATCTTCAATGCTACCGGTTAGACCAATAACAGCCTTTCCTTTACCTTCAAAAAATAAGTGCGCAAGCTGGAGAGCTTCGATATAATCATTTTGCTTAATGAAAAAATCTAAACGATCTCTCCAAAAGCGTATAGTCAAACAATGAATTGATTTTGATCCAAGTAGAATTAATTGGCTGTTAAAAACTTGAACTGATTGGTAACATGCATAACTACTAGCTGCTTTTAATGCCAGACTAACATTACCACCAGTTGCTAACGATTTAAAGTAACTGCTTCCATAAACTAAGTTTACACTGCTTATATCTAAACACTCCAACTCTTCTTGAGTATTTATATCAATTGTCCGTATACACTCAAATTTATCAATGGTTACAATAATTTTAGAATTTAAACAAGACATAGCAACAAGGGTATGATTTAATTTTATACTATATAATTCTTCAAAGCAAGTTAATTCGTCTACTTTAAATACTCTGAAGGATATAATTGTTTGGTTACGACCAAACATTAAAACAGGATATACATTTCTTTGTCCATCTTCTAATTCTGAAATTATAAAACTCCAAATTAATAAAGGTAAACATTCACTTGGTCCAGTAAGCTTTTTTGTGTATATTGCAACTGGTGTTGGTTTCAAATTTACAACAATCAGTTTAGTTAAAGTTGCCATTGCCAAAAGTGAAGAGTTGTTGAAATGATCTTTAAAGTTTGATTTTATATGCAGTGGGAGTATGCTACATACTTCACCTTTACTTCCTGAAAAGAAACAGGTGGATTCAGCAGTTCTCATTAACAATCGTTTAAAGCTGAGACTATAAACAGACCCACTGCTGTCACTAAATAATGCAAGAGTTGGGTCATCAGTGAAATGTATGTGAAGAACAGCATACCCAACTGGATGGGCATCTTTTATAATACGCAAGCAATTTCCTGTTAATAAATCCCACATTGTAATTTCACCACGAGCATATCCACATAACAAGCGTGTGCATTCAACATTAATTCCTAATGAGATACAGATAAATTATAACTAACATTGCTGATGACAATGACAAGCATTATTATAATCATCATTATCACAACTAGCTGCATCATCATCATCATCATCATCATCATCATCATCATCATCATCATCATCATCACCATCATCATCATCATCATCATCATCGTCATCATAATCTTAAAAATAAGTATGTAATACATCAATGAAATTAAAAATCACAAAATTAAAATGCATTATCTTTTCTGCAATTCATGTAAAAAGAGTTGTGGATAAAATTGGAACAAAATAAATAGCTCAAATGAGTTATAAAAAAGAAAAAGAAAAACTTGCATATATTTTTAAATATAATATATTTTAAAGCACATTTTTTTTGATGTAATGTTTTATTTTAAGGTAAATAGTGGTAAGGTAATAGTAAACAATTTATTATTAAAAAAAAATTTGCATATTTAAGCTCTTATCATTTATCTTAACACAATCTTTATAATGAAAACTTATGTACTGTGCTGAATATACAGTAGTAGATGTAAAAATTATGCTGAACTTATGGCATAAATAGTTAAAGGACATGAGGACATGGTTATTATAGAGTAAATGTAAACAGGTTATGCCTTAATTCATTGCTTTTCAATCTACTTTAATAAAATGCCAAACTTTATTTAAAAAAAAGCCTAATAACAAATCCCTATAAAAGATTTAGGCTGAACTGTTACTCAAAATGTTTTGTATAGGATATTTAGTGTATACATATAAAAAAAAAAAAAAAAATGAAATTTCAAAAAAATATTAGTTTTAGTACACAAAAATAAAAAAATATATATTTGCTGTATACTTTGTTTTTATTTTAATTGCTATCATTATTTTTAGGTTTGAAAAGTCAAAATTTCAAGAAGAAAATATAAATATATTGGGATAAAATCAAAGCACAAATTACAACATATTTCAAATTCATCACATTATTTTTCATTATCAATTTTATCAGTGCTCAAAGTGAGGTGGAATAGGGCAAGATGCCATTCCTTTACCTTTTTTAAAAATTTCAAACCATCCCTTTTTTTAGCACCTATTATATATGGCCATCCAAGTACCTTATAAATTAAAAAAAATCTTTTTCATCATAGATAAAAGTGTAAAAACATTTGTGTTGCAAAGTTTTAACTGTGTGCAATTACATGTTGCAAAGTTTTTACTGTGTGCAATTACATGTTGTAAAGTTTTTACTGTGTGCAATTACATGTTGCACACAGTAAAAACAAATTTACAAATGTTTACAAATTTGAATTGAGCAATTGAGCAATTGAAGCTGATAAAAGATTCTTAAACAAAACAATCCAAAATTATAAAATATTGAACTTTTTTTTATTTCAAAAGTTACAAAAATAATAAAAAAAATCTTGTTTCAAAAAAAAAAAAAAAAAAAAAAAAAAATTATTAAATAGCAGTCTTAGCAAATATTTTTTGTTTGGATTTGAACTTTAAATTCGTTTTGCTTGACATTGAATATTTTGAAATAAAAATAATTGTTATAATTATTTTTATTTCAAAATTAATTACAACAATTGCAATTCATGTTGTAATTAAAAGTGATTACTTTTAATTACAACATGAATGACAACACAAGTAGAAAGAAATAAGCAAATAGTTGAGTGTTAAACCTTGAATATTCTATTCTCAATGTGATATAAAACATTTATTTTTCTGATAAACAATAAAAGGAAAAACTTGATGAAGACATTTGACTGGTTGACAGTTTCTATAACTGGTCCTGGTTATTCTGCTGGTAAGTTGGCAAATTAATAATTTGGAATTAAAAGATAATGTCAAAAAGTAAAAAAAAAAAAAGGTTGTAGAAAAGAACATGACAACAAAAAAAGAAAAAAATTATTATCAAAAAGGAAGAAGCTTTAACTTCATAAGTCATCAGCTGCACACAAGAAAATTTCTCAATCCAAGAATCAAGCTATAGAGCTATTTAATTCAAAAATGCAGATCAATAAGAATGAAACTACCTAACGCAATATTTTATATTATGTAAAGTAGGATTTATGATAAATACCACAATTAGTGGTAATATTGTATATTGAAATCAATATTATAAATAGTATACCTTTTGACCTTTCTATTGCTAAATAACTTTTATAAGCACTTTATATTGAGTTTGACAGTAATTTTTATTACAATTAGGTCAGCATTTGGCAATGCTGACCTAACTGCCGACCTTAAAGTGTTTAAGGTTGGCAAAAATTTATAAAAAACCAATAAAAATACTAAATATTAAAAAAAAAAATTCACTAGTGCAACAATTTCTTTTTAGGAAAAACATAGTTATTAAGACAATTTCAACATATAAGCGCATATACATGTGTGACAAGTACAGCAAGTAACATCTATTTAATATGGATTAAACACAATGTTAGAATGAAACTTTTTAATTTGTTTCAATTAAATACAATTTATTAGAGATAATAGACTTATTATTTATCAGAGACAATAACAGAAAACGTCTTATGATAATTTGTTTTAACTACATGTTCAATTTATAATTAGTTATATATATAATTTTCTTTAAAGTTATATATTAATTTTCTTTAAAGTAAAGGCAAGTTTCCACTTATTTTTCTACAGAAATGGAAAAAGAAAGGAAAAAATAATTATGAGATTTGAAAAAAATAAAATGGAAAAATTGAAACTTGCCTTTACTGTGTTTTCATGGGTTTTTAAACAAACATGTTATTTTGAGAAGTGCATATAACAAAAAGCAAATGCTTTAAATGTTTACAATCACTTAGAGTGACAACATTCTTGATTGATATTTATATTTGCCATTTATGTCTGCTATTTTTTACCGGTTATAGCCAAACCATGTATCAGACAAAAACATTTTCATCATACAAATAAAAGCTTGAATGGAGTAATATGCTTTAAATGTATCTTAAAATGTACCAAAATAAAATAAACAAATTGTGTGGTAAAGTAAATTAAACAAATTGTGTGGTAAAGTAAAATAAACAAATTGTGTGGTAAAGTAAAATAAACAAATTGTATGGTAAAGAAAATTTCAACAAAAACTTTTTTAAGTGAATAAAATCATTTTCAAATGCAATATTTTTTGCAAAAGAAAATTTTCGACTGATTTTTTTAAAAAAAAAATATCTGATCTGTTTATTTAATTGATCAGATTTTTGGCTTTAACTTTTGTTAGATAAAAAATTCTTTTTTATAAACTATGATTATGTTTTTAATTCACCTCCCCAAGGGTCTAGAGAGGACCACTAAAGTCAATAAAGCTACTCAATTTTTTTATTTTGTTTTATTTGCAACTCTCTTTCTTAATTATAAACTTTAAAACACGAATCCTGTTAAACTACCAAATATACTTAGTTAAGAAACTTAAAAGAAAAAATTTTTATGAAAAGTGAAATGAATTTTTAAGTAAAATTATTGTTACTATAATTATAATCGGCAATATATATTTTAGATAATATATTAATAATTATTGCAAATAAAAAAAAAAACTTAACAACTAGAAAGAATAAATCGACATAATTGTATTTAATAATAAAAGTTCAACAATTTGTCAAAAATCATTATTAATATTTTGGTTTATTGAAATAAATTATTATTTTACACATTATTTTGATAAAAGAAAAAAAAAAAAAAGAGACCAGATAAAATTTAAGCAATTTTCATACTGTTTGAATAAAAATAAACAAGATGCAGAATATAAAAGAAAGTAATAAACATCTTAATGTAGAAGAATGTTATAAAAATGCTTATTTTAACATATACTTTCATATGCTTGACAGAATATTTTTGCAAAAATTTTGTCGCATAATTTTATTGTCACAAATTTGATAGTTGAAAATGTAAAAAAGGAATAGTGTTGCAAATTGTCACATTATTGATTGTCGAATAACAGAATAGTGTAGGAAAAAAAAAGAAATAGTGTCACAAATGAATTTAATGAACACTGTAGAAAATAGAAAAAAGGAATGATGTCCTAAAAGAGTTTAATAAATAGTAACAAATATAGTAATAACTATAAATGTGTGTTTAGATAACATGTTTGATTTCATACTGAAATAGCCTGCTGCCGGGGGTTTCAGTACATACACCAACTATCTTATAGCCTGCTGCCTCAAAAGAGTGCCCTACATCTACTGAGGATTTGGTCGCAATCTTTTCTTTTATTATTTTTTGTTTTGCCTTTTTTGTTTGTTTTTTCTGTAATAGCTGTATGCTATAAAGATAAGCAAAACGAGTAAGCAATTGCTGAAATTATTTGTGACACTATTCCATTTTTACTATTTGCGACACTTCTTTTTTTTTGTTTTTGACATTATTCATTATATTCATTTGTGACGCTATTTTTTTGCGACAGTAGGCTTTTTTAATATATTCAACACTATTCTGAAGTTCTTTTTTCGACACTACTCATGTCACTATTCATACTGTACTCTCCTACTCAGATACTGTGCTCTCCTACTCAGATACTGTGCTCTCCTAAGCAGATCATAATCCTAATGTTAGGCTTAGAAATGGAAACAAGGCAACAAAGAAACAAAACAGCTGGAATATTTTTGGTTTATATCTTGGTAAATATCTAAAAATGTAAATATGTAAGAAAGTGTCATCTGATGCTAAGATCCATTATTCCCAGTTTATAAAATCTCATATTTTATCACAGAAGTTACGCTCTAGAGACTTCTGGAAAATCTTCAACAGCATCATTAACAAAGGTAAGTCTGACATTCCATCTCTAATTCATGGGACTGATCTTATTAACATATCTCTAACAAGAACAAGGATGAACTATTTACAAAAAGCTTTCCTTCTAATTCGACTCTTGAATCTTATGGTCATACTTTTCTTTCCATTTCAGTCGCCAAAGTCATATCTCAATTGAAATGTGGTCCAGACAACATATTCATAGTTATACAAAAGCATTCTCAGAACTCTCTTCAATTCTTTCTAAATAAATGCTTGGCTAAATTGTCTTTTCCTGCCTGCTGGAAAATGACATCTGTGGTTTCAATTTTTTAAAAAACTCTGGAGAATATTTTGAACCCTCTAGCTATTGTTTTATCAGTCTTCTATGTTGTTAGCAAGGTTTTTGAGTCTTTGATCAAAAAATTTCCAACATCCCATCTTGAATCAGATAATCAACACGGTTTTCTATCTTCTTGCTACATTACTGTTTTTTTTAACTATTGTGACTGAAAGATTTTATTGTGCATTAGATGGAGACTGAAAGGCAAGGGCTTTGCTCTTGTCATACCTAAAGCTTTCAATAAAGTTTGGCATGCTAGTTTTCTCCATAAGCTTGCTTCATATGGTGTATCTGAAAATTTTTTTGAGATTATCAAATCATTTCTTTTTAACTGGTATATTAAAGATATTCTTAAAGGCCAACACTCTTCCACATTTTTGGTAACTTCTGGGGTAACTCAAGGTTTTATCTCTAGTTCTGTTTTTTTCTTATCTACATCAATGATCTTCCTGACAACCTTACATCTAAAGTAAAGTAATCAATGATCTTCCTGACAACCTTACATCTAAAGAAAAGTAATCAATGATCTTCCTGACAACCTAAAAGTAGCCTTACATCTAAAGCTGTTTTTACTGATGACTTAACTTTATACTCCTGTCTTGAAAAAAATCAATTCAGAAAACAAGTCAATCAAGTCGGGATTATTGTACTGACCTCTCATGGAAACAATATTTAAATTAATTGTAAAGATAGATGGCTTCTCTTTATCATGCTTGCCATTTTCTTATTCCTAATCCCATTCTCTACTCTACAAATCTTTCATTTATTTAAACACTCAATTGTTTAAAAATTAACTTAAACACTGCCAAAAAAGGTCTAGAATAGCTTCTGTCTATCTGCTAAGCTTGAACCTTTCTTCCATTATCATAAAGTTGCACCTATTTCTCTTTTCTACAAATACTATCATGGTTGCTGTTTAAAGGAAATACTATCATGGTTGCTATTTTAATAAAGTTATGTTTATTAAGTAAGTAAAGATTAGAAAACAAGTTAAAACTTATTTTCTAATGTTTATTTATCAAAAAAATATCTTTTTTTGATCACTTTAAATTTACTAGTTTTGGTTAATGATCTTTTATTCCAGTTTATAAATATATTTATTTGTTCATTAATTGATTTCAAAAAAATAATTGCCATATTACATTTTTATTTACAAAAAAGAGAAATTTTTGTAATTGTTTTAAAAAGAACTGCAAAAATTTTTTATTTATTTTTATATAGGCGTTTGATAAGGAAGCTTTGCGGAAAAGAAGCATCTCATTTTGGATTTAAAATGAATAAAAATAATATAAGTTAGAATTCAAATTATTGTTAGACCTTACTTTAGTATTAGACATTACCTAATGTGGCACTCCTAATTTATAATATTCCATTAACACTCGTTAATGGAATATTATATATTAGGAGTGCGATAAAAAATGTTCGCTAATTTAGTAATGAGAGTAAAAAATCGCGCTCGTCCTTAAAATTTGGGAGGGAGAAAACTAATAATGGTTTACTTGATTTTGTATTTAATTTTTTTTCATAAAAAGTTTTTGGTTAAAGATGCTTGTTTAATTAAACAAAAAAGTTTAAAAATCTCTATTCACAAATCTATAATTGCGTTTTTTCAATTGAGGTAAAATGTTAAAGCTATACTTTAATTAAAAAACTCATTTTTTCATGTTAGCTTACGTCATTCTGTTGAAATTAAAGCGCAAATTTCTACGAACAACGAAAGGTGATTTGTGAATGAGACTTCTTTATATAAAACATTTGCAGCAAACATTATGACGCAAATGATTATGATTTACGATATATATTACGTTAAATGGAATTGTACTTAATTTAAAGTAATAAAAATGTAGAAAAATAAATCCCAAAAATACTAAAACTTTTAATTGTTCTTTGAGTAAATAGCCCAATTGATAGAAAAGAATTTTAACAAATCTTTATAAAATTTTATAAGTTATTATTTAAATAAAATATTTTGGCCCAAAATTTAACTAAATTTAAAAAGCATTTGTTATTAAAATTATAATTTATATTATTTATAACTTAATTAAAATTATAAATTAATTTGAGAATATAAAATAAGAAATCGCTATTTCATTGTTTTAATGATGCAAAAAACATTATGAATTTATATTTTAATTAAACAATGAAACAATGAAAAAAATGAAAGCTTATGAATAGGGCCGTCCCAAAGAGATTTTAAAGGGGGGAATCGTGCCTAATTTTTGCTGACAAAAGCCAAAAAAAATTTTTTTTGCCCACTAACCTAAAAAAAAAAAAAAAAAAAAAAAAAAAATGTCCTCGCTTTCCGACTCCGACTATAAATCCAATTTTGCTGACTCTAATGTCCAATTTGCCAACTATTAAAATTTGTAGGGGGCTAGACACCCTATACCCCCAACCCTAGGGACAACCTTGCTTATGAATTTCTTTCAAATAAATTTGATGTAGTAATAAAAAAAAATTGACTATAGTATTAAGTTGAAGATGAAGACAATAACAAAGAAAATACATAAAAGATAAATTTATTGTTTAAAACAAGATCATCAAGAACTAGGTGGAAAAAGAAACACAATCAGATGCGATCAAATAATAAATAAGTAGTTAGGAAGTCAAAAGAATTTTAAACATTTTGTCAGGCAGTGCGCTGCTAAATAATAATTTTAAAATATTTATCTAGAGATGTAAATTGTTTTTTTGGTTCTTGTTTTTTTGCCAAAAAAAACGTTTTTTGGCCAAAAAAACGAGGGCTTCATTTTTTGTTTTTTTTTTGGTGTTTTTAAACAAACCACTTAAAATAGCTTTAATTTTGAGGTGATATATATTTAAAGACATTTCCATTTTTCTATACACTTTTGGACAATGACTTTAATCGAATTTCTGCCAATGTTAAAGAGGTAGTAGCAACAGCAGATTCGTTAGGATTCATGTGTGATGGGTGGAGTAATGTAAGGTGAGTTCAAATAAATTATAGAATTTTTTATTGTTATGACTTTCATATTCAAACTTTAAAATTCTTTAAATTTTTTAGAAATGAAGCAGTTATTAACTTTGTTTTGACACTGCCTTCATCAGTGCCTATTTTATGGAAATCACTGCCTTCAGGTAAAATATAAATACATTCCTCTGATTATATAACTGAACACCATTGTGTAAATTATTCTCATTAAAGTAATAATTTTAAAGTTCATCAAATCATTCTGGGGAATATATAGCTGATGAAATACGGAGAGTGTTAGAAGAAATTAATCTTAAAAAGGTCTTAATAATAGTAACAGACAATGCAGCAAACATGAAAAAGGCATGGAGATTAATAAAAGAGAGCTATCCTTACCTTAATTGCTATGGATGGCTATGGATGTATATCTCACGGTCTCAATTTACTTTTTAATGATTTTATGAAACTTCCTACTCTTTGTGTGTTAATGTCACAAGCAACAGATATTGTAAAGGAAGTAAAAAATTCTCACATATTAGGTGCAATAAGAAAAACTTCCTGTAAAAATCTGGTACTTGTAAGTTTTGTGTGTGTGTGTGTGTGTGTGTGTGTGTGTGTGTGTGTGTGTGTGTGTGTGTGTGTGTGTGTGTGTGTGTGTATTATAAGTTTTCTACACCACACAGAAGACTAAACCATTTTTAAAAATGGTAAAATTTTGTTGGTTCAAGAAGAAGTTAATATGTTTATATTATTTGATGTGCTCGGAATCAGATAATAAAATTTTGGGAATGTTCATAATTTATTAAATATTCGAGTAGTGTAAAAATGAAGAGAATATAAGACTTTGAGCTAAATTTTTAAAAAAAATTGGATTATCTCAAATTATCTCAAAATGTAACTTTAATAGGTAGTAGTTTATGCCATTTAGATGATGTATACAATTACATATTCAATAATTCAGCAACATAAAACATTTAGCATTATTTTGAAATAAATAAACATTTTGCAACATAAAAAAAATATATATATATATGTTAGTTTTATTAAAAAGCATTATTATTACTATTATTGTTATTATTGTTAATTATTATTACTTATCTTAATAATTGTTATATTATCATTAGACATAATATTGTTAAATAACAATCAAAATATAAATGTAAATAATATTATAATTAAAAAATGAAAAGAGTGATAGTTAAGATAGTATTAAAAAACACAACCAAAAAATGCAAATAATACTATTATTAATAATAAAAGTTATATTAAATACCAAGTGATGTTACAGCACCATAATTCAAACCATCAGCATTACTCCCTAACACATACTTCATAGCTTGATCAGATGGATCAAACACTAATACCAGTCCATGTGACATTCCAACAGCAATAATATTTGAAACTGCTATTGATGATGGAAGACCAGCATCTCTTCGATCACATGCATCTGTCATTTGTGAAGAAATTTTTTTTAACATTACATGACGCAAAATTGACCCGTGAATTCTTGATTTTTTATTTTTTGATATATCATTAATATTTAATTTTGGAAGTGGCAAAGTTATACTAGCTAAGCTGTATGTCCCATCATCTATTTTTCTATTAGCCTCTGAAATTCCAATGCATATATCAGAATTAAAGTCATCAAAATTAAACAGGTTATCATCCTCATTTAAAATACTTTCAAGTGTCGGGAGATTATTTTCTTGAATTGGAAAATCAAATGGATGATTTTCATCCATTATATGTTACTTTATCTGAAATTAAAAATATTCAAATATAAATATATGAACTGATAGCACTATTATTAATCCTTACATTTAACAAAATAAAAAAATAATATTGAATAATATCTTCATTTTATCTAGTATTTGATAAAATAAAAATTATTAACAGTTGTTAATAAAATTTTTAATGCATAAAATAAGATATACATGTGCTTTTAGTTGCTATAATTTTTCAATAAACTTTCAAATGTTTTCATTTATATATACACATGTTTTCATATATTTACACATGTTTTCATATATATGATGTTTTCGTTATTGACAAATGTTCAGAATAATGAGTTTATAAATTTATAAAGGACAAAACACAGATACAGAAAATAGTTTGAAAGAATTATAGTAGAAGCACCCACGCTCTAAAAAAACAGATTCCATTAGCTGCGAGGAAGAGAAGCAAGATGAACAAAGGCAGATTATGAATTTAATTTGTTATTCATTATTTAAAAAAAATCTTTTTGTGCAATATTTCTGTTGTGAAACTGTAATAAATAAGTCTATATTAAATATTTTCAGCTTTTATCAAATTTTAAGTCAAACACAATTTAAGATCTACAAAACAGATTTTATAACACAATTTAAGATCTACAAAACAGATTTTATAACACAATAAATATAATTAGAATATCTTAAGTTCATTTAACCGTATTTTTATGACGTGTTTGATGCCAATTATTTAGTTCAAATACATAGTTCTCAAGAATATAACAATTTCTTTAATATTTAATTGGTATAACTACATTGAAATTATGCTTATAATATCTTTGCTGAATAAAATGTTATCACACTTGAAAAATGTATAAAATAAGTACATGAAAAGTTTTTTGACACAGGGTGTATATATATATATATATATATATATATATATATATATATATATATATATATATATATATATATATATATATATATATATATATATATATATATATACAGAGTGTAAAATAAGAAATCGAAAGCGAGCGGTCAATTTGACCAGCTAACCCTTAGAATTAACGATCAACTGTTTTTTTTGGGCAGTCAAC